GTAAATGTTTAAACAAAAAAAAAATTAAAAGAAAGAAACTTAAGGTAGCAAGGTATAGGTAAAATTGCAAAAAAATTCAAGTTGTCAGCAGCAGATTGGAGGTGTTGGAGTGAGCAGGACCGAAGCCGTGCTGGGATCTAAAACCACCTGGGCTGTGGGAAAATATTTTTAAAGGGACACGGTTTTTTTCTTCTCTCTTTCCTCCCATCCCCTGACTTTCTTATCTTGCTTGCTAAGTAGAAAAACAAGGCTGTTAAAAACTAATCAGGACCTGCAAAACTAACAGTTCTTCTTTGAGGCTTGCAGAGTTCCAAGAACAGATGTCTGGAGGCTGACCATGGGCGCCAGCGAGGAATCAAAATCCTGCAGAACCCTAAGATAGCATCAAGGACAAGCCAGACAGAGCCTTGGCGAGACCCTGCATCAGCCCCTTACCAATCTCCCTCCTACTCTTCACTCGCTGCTTCCTCCTCCTTGAAAGCCTCGGTAGATCTGAGCCTTTGAGGTGGCTTAGCTTTGCTGTCTCCTCAGGCCTGAGAACAGCTGCCTTCCTATTTTACCAACAATTGACGTCTGAGTCTCTTGTTTCTGTTTTGGCGGCGACAGCCGGACTTGGGTTTGGTAACAGTGGGAGATCAACACATTCTAGTCTCGCTCCTTTTTTGCTTTTCTTGCAGTAAATGGTGACAGATGCCTCACTTTTTAATTATGTCCAGCATTCTGGTTCCAGTAAGGCTCTGAAAAATTGTTGGGGGTGGGGGGACCGTGACTTTCATTCCAAGTGTCATCTGAAGGTCACTAGGGTCTCCTCTATGTATGTCCATCTGCCTTCGGGGACCTAAAGTTTCTGTAAGACAAATGATGATCACCCGCCCACTACAGGAAACTCGAAAGGCCTTTTGTTATCTTAAAAGGAACTCCAGGCAATGATTCAGCTTGCACAATTATCTGAGATGGTCAGCAGCCAGTTTCAGCTGGAGGCTGTCAGATGACCCATGCCTCACTCTTGGAGGGGCTCTGACAACACTTTGTGTCTGTTCTCTCATCTGTTGACATCGTCTCTAATCCTCACCACAACCTGAAGGAGCTGGGGTCACTGTCCCCTCTTTACCCAGAGAACCTGAAACCCGCAGTGGTCCAGCAACCCCCAAGTTCTCACCCCAAAGCTGTGTCTCATTCCAAAGCTATGGCCTATGACTTCTGTTCTGCCTCCTTGCAGGGTTATTGCAAGGGCCAAATTAAATGAGATAATCAGCATTAAGAAGCCTGGTCAGTGACCTACACAGCGCAGGCCTCTGTGTTGACCCAACTTGCTCTGTTTTACAGCCCAGCACCCTGAGTGCAGAGGGTGTAAGTGGTCCCTTAGTAAGAGGCAGCACTGGGATAGTAGACCAGTGGTTCCATCCTGGGACACCTCAGGGCTGGCTTTGGACGCACACCTGTGAGCATTTCCCCTGGGGTTCAACATAGCCCAGACTTTATCCTCCTTCCAACCCGCCATGTTCTAGGCGCTGGGCCACACCAGTCCTTCCATGGACTTGCAATATGTGACCTTTGCAACCTTTGTAAACAGCCCCTTCCTGTGGTTCTGCATAACACTGACTCTGTTTAAGGGAGAAACCTCTGCACCTGGCACGACACCATCTTTCTAACCTGGTGACCCAGCGTCTGTGAGTGAGGATGGCTCACACAGAGGGTTGCACGCAGCGGGCTCAGGGTCCTCCCGTCTGGTGGGGACCCCCTCCATGCTCTTGTCCTCCCCAGGACACCAGGGGCAGGGAGCAGAGGGAGGGGTAGGGAAGGACGGGGGCGGGACAGAAGGACCCACTGGAGCCTGACCCCGTGCAGAAAGTGAGCAAGCCTGTCCTGGGTCACACGTGTCCCGCCTCCCCCAATACACCAGGCCAGAGTAGTTATGGTCTTTCTCTGTAGAACAGGTCCAGGCTTCTGCACCAGCCCTAGCCCTTGATGTGTGTTAGTGGGAGTCGGGAGCAGAGCAATCGATTTGGTCATCCTCATGGCTTTTGTCTAAACTGGCAGTTTAAACAGCTCCTTCCTGCTCAGCCTCTTTAGGTAGAAACACGCAGCCACCCAGGCTCCCCCTGACCCCTTTCGCGGTTCCCCATGCCCCCGTGGTGTATGGCTAGCTCAGGGAGCAGCAGGGGAAGGTATCCTCAGGCGTGTGTGGCCTCCAGGGATGCCCTGGGCCCGACAGCGCCTGCATCTCCCTCCCTCTCCCTCACTCCCTCCTTCTCCTGGCTCAGGGAACACAAGCCCAGAGACTGTCTCCCACATCTTCCACTGAGCACCTGTGCCAGCTGTCCACCCTCTGCTGTGATGCAGGGCCACCCTGCCCTGCTAGGCAGGACCTCAACTCAGAGTCCATGAGATCCGAGGAGAGCTCAAGAGGCCCTAGTGCTGCCTGATGCAAGCTCTGCCGGCTGCCCTGCATCCCGCTCCTCCAGCTCCTCCAGCATCTCCCGCGGGGTGGAAATCAGCTCGGCTCACTGCCCACGCTCCCGTCTCTCCCTTGTCTCTGCTGTCTTCTGGGCTTGGCCAAAGGGGAAGGCTGCTTTTAAATAAAACTAGACCGAGCATCCAGGCCCTGGCCTGGCACTGTGGGGGGAAGAGGTGACCTACCACACGGACAGAGATGCTATGTTGAGGGCAGCCAAGCTCGGCCTTGATTTGCTCCTCAGGAGCTACATGAGCTCAGAAAATCCTTCTCATTCACAATGACTGTCTTTTAAGCCTACTGTCTTACCGCAAATGTCTATTTTTGTATGTTAGAAGACAAATATAACTGTCTTTTCTCTTTGGGTACTTGTCTTCTTTGGATACTTTCCACACTGGGCTGATCTCCCCAGAGAGAAGGCCATGGGCTCAGAAGCAAAAGCAAAAGGGATAAAACCATGTTAACCACGTGGTTCCAAATCTGACCTCCTGAACTCCCTAACAAACACCTCACATCCTCCTCTGGGCCCTGGAGCTTCTGGGACGTGGCCTGTCCTACCTTCACTCCTCACTACTCACACAGCCGATGGTGGCTGGCTGCCAGGGCCTGCACTTGAGTCTAGCCACAGGGGAGGTGACATGACCTTGTGTTCTCACACGGGACTCCGAGGAACAGGGTGGACAGCAAGAGCAGCCTGCTGACTTCGATGCAAGGATGTCCCAGGCAGAGGCTGGCAGGAGGCCTCAGCCCCTCGGCGCCATCAGGCTCATCTCCCCTGGAAATCTTCTCCGCTGACACGGACTCCAGCAGGACACAGGGACTTCTCCCCTTCCTGAGAGAAACCAGTGAAAGAATTTCCACCAGAGATGCTGTGGAGAAAGAGGAAAGGGCCCCGTGGTTTCTGTGAAAGGCTTACTGCATTCTATAACTGACTCCAGTGATCTCGTTACATAAAAATTACCGGAGCCCATTGTTTTGGACTAAGCTCCTGCACAAGGCCCCAACAGACCAGACTAAAAACCAAAACGGAGTAACCCCTGCTAAGTTCCACGTCACCTGGGCTGTGGTGTGACCTTCCGAGAAGTCAAGGAAGGAGCGAACAGCCAATTTCCCAGAAAGGCCAGTTTAATCTTCAACAGGTGTGATAATCAAGTCTGTCTTCATCCTCACACAAGAGATGGCCTGAAGTCACCTAATGTTATTTTCCTATTCTTTTGTCTCCCTGTCCCCACCTTTCACGGAAAGTATCTTTGAAATGACTGATCTGCTTTCGTACTTGTTTCTGCTGTCTTCAGCCTTTTCTGTCTATAAAGCCTTTGCTATTTGTAATAAACTTTATTGTACTTCTCTGTCAGATGGTGTTTCCTGGGTTGATCCTCACATTTGGCTCCCAATAAACTTTAGAAAATTATTTCTTTCTCAACGGCCTTGGTTTCGGTCCACAATCTTACTTACAGCAACTAGTCTACAGAGCAGTCAAGTGTGGTACGTGTTCAGAGCAGCCCCCAGTGCATCATGAAGCTACGTGGGGCATGTCCGGCAATGTCCACACCAGCTTCAGGAGGAGTTTGCACACTAACGTGCTTGGCCGTTTGCGTGAGGCTGGCAGGTTGCTGACAGTGCCAGGTTCTGTGCTGGAATCAGTCTGGAAGGATACTGTGGGCCAGGCAGAGGATGCCCACCATCCTGCAGAAAACCACAGGCCCCTGGCACAAGGATGCCTTGTGGGAGGGTGAGGGAACATTCTAGAAGGCCAAGGAGCTATCCCTGCAGGCAAAGCCAGCCTGGATCAGAAGGTGCATGTGTGTGGCCCTCTTTTGACCTGGCTGAGATCTATGGGCCTTTTGTGTTTAAAATAGCATCTATGTGATACCTAGGTACAGCCTGTCTTCAAAGAAATGTTCATAGCTTCTGACCCAGGCATTCCCACTTTTAGAATTCTACCCTAAGGAAATAATAGAATATACAGACAACATTTTAGTCATAATGATATTCATCCCAGTGTGAATTATAATAGGAAAAAAACTGTGAACAACCTAAACCCACAACTTTAGGGAAATAGTTATGTAAACAGTAGTGCCTCCCTGAATGTTCCTGCCATGGGCATGATATTAAAATGATGTTTATGGGGAAAAATGTTAATGACACAAGGAAAATAATACACAAAGGGTTTATTATATAAGAGAGACAGCGTTTTATGTGGTCACAATTACATTAAACGTCAGTAAGAACCAAAGCGAGAAAAATAGCACTTAAGTTCTCTGCAGAGGGTGGATGACAGGGGTTTCTAATCACTCATTCGTATTTTTATGCATCTCTAATATTCCTTAACACCCCTAAATCCCTTTTATTATCAGAAATTCCTGAGAACATCCGTCATCTTCCTGAAGAGGTGGGTCCAGCCACACTTAAGTTCTCTGCAGAGGGTGGATGACAGGGGTTTCTAATCACTCATTCGTATTTTTATGCATCTCTAATATTCCTTAACACCCCTAAACCCTTTTATTATCAGAAATTCCTGAGAACATCCGTCATCTTCCTGAAGAGGTGGGTCCAGCCTGGGTGGGCTGGAGATGGCTTCCCAGCCTAAGCCGTGCCAGAACACGTCTGTCTCCTGGGAATTTTGGATCGGGAGCTCGTGACTCAAGGTAAGTGGCACTGGGCACAGAGTTGAGGCTGCCTCGATGGGACCACAGTCCTGCACCAATGCACACTGAAGGGGAGGGCCCAGGGTCTGCAGAAAGAGAAAAGAGGGGCCCAGAGAGCCAGGATGCAGGACCGTGCTAACAACGCCCCAGGTTCTCATTCCAGGACCTGTGGAGTCATCTGGTCTTCCTGTCTTTTTGTTCTTTGAGCCCCGCTTGTGTCCTGCTACATCATCAGTTTGGCTTGTGTTCATCTGAGGGGTCTGTTTTCATTCCAGCCAAAGGAGTCTAGAAAGCCTATGGGAGCTCAAACCGGGGTCTGTCGGTAATCCTGCCCAGGACTTTGAATGGTAGACAAGCAGTGTGACAACGGATAGTTTTGCAGTAGTGCTTGTCACCCCAAAACCCTTTCTAAAAGTACCATGTTGTTCAATGATTGCAGGATAGTGACAAGTCCCACACCTGGGCCACTGTAGTGAACTGAATGATGTACCCCCAAAACTCATTGAAGCTTGAATTGTGTCCCCCAAGTTTTATGTATTAGAACTTAGCCCCCACTGTGACTGTTAAGAGGGTGGGAAATCCTATTATGGTAATTGAAAGGTGGAGCCTTGAAGAGGTGATTGGATTGTAGGACCGTGCAGTAGTGAATGGATTAAAAATGGTGGTCAGGGGTGTGGTTCTGAGGGCTTTAAAAGAAGAGGAGAGTCTGTCTTGCTCTCTGCTCTGTCTGCTTCCACCATCTTACAATGTGAGACCCCTGGGTCACTGTTGCCACCTCCAGATGGACTTTGGACTTCTCAGCCTCAGAAACTGTAAGCAATAAATTTCATTTTCTTTAAAATTACCCAGTTCCAAGTATTTTGTTATAAGCAACACAAACGGACTAATACAACCACCTCAGGCAGAAATAGAGAGGAGAACACAAATCCTAAGCACACAGCCAGGCGCATTTCCATAAAGTACACACACCCAACAACCAACACCAAGAACAAGAATCAGAGCATGACCAGCACCCCGAAAACCCCCCATGCCCATCCAGCCCAGCCCCCAAGGGTGATCGCTATCCTGGGAGGGGTACGGAAGGACAGGGGCGGGACAGAAGCTAACACAAGTTAGCTTTCCCTGTTCTTAACATTTACATGAATGGCATCAGACAATGTGCACTCTAGTGATTCTGGCTCTTTCATTCAACACTATTTGGGGCAGACCATTTTTTCAAACAGCCACACAGAACTGAGGCTCCTTGACTTACGATGGGGCTACATCTCAATAAACGCATTGTTGAGAATATTGTAAGTCGAAAATGCACTTAATGCTCCTAAGCTACCAAACACCATCGCTTAGTCTAGCCTATCTTAAACATGCTTTAGCCTACAGTGGGGCAAAATCATCTAACATAAAGCCTATTTATTTGTTGACTACTGTACTTAAAGTGAGAAACAGAATAGTTGTATGTTTACTCAAGGTATGGCTCCTACTGATTGCACATCGCTTTTGCACCATCACGAAGTCAAAAAATCGTAAGTCAAACCTCCTAAGTTGGGGCCTGTCTCAGTCAGAAACCATCTATACTTCCTATTCCACACGCTCTTCTCAAAGCTTGCCACTCTCCCACTGAGCGGAGGACTTTAATTCCTCTTCCTTTGAATCAGCGGACCCACGAGTTGCTTACAGACAAGGCGGCAGAAGGGATGCTGCATGACTCTGAGGCTCAAAGACTATGCCCTATTTGCCAAGACTCTCACTTTTGGAGCCCTGAGCCTCCATGTGGGAAGTCTGGCTTTCCCAAGATCGTCATGCTGTGAGGAAGCCCAGGCCACATGGAGAGGCCTCTCAACAGCCCAGCTGAAGTACCAGTGACACCCAGAGCTCATGGCCAGACACATGAGTAAAAAGGAATCCAGATAATTCCAGTCATTCCAGCTAAGGTTGCCAGATTTAGGAGAGAAAAAAATGCGGACATCCAGCGAAATTTGAATTTCAGATAAACAACAAATACTGTCTAGTATAAGCATGTCCATAATAGTTCATTATTTATCTGAAATTCAAATTTAACTGCCCGCCCTTTATTTTATCTGGCAACTCTACCCCCAGGAATTAAGTGTGCCTAGCTGAGGACCCAGACCCACAGAACAGAGACAAGCCATTCCCACTAGGACCTGCCCAAATTCCCAAAACTCATTTGCTTAATAGAATGGTTTTTTAGGGCCGGCCCAGTGGTGCACTCGGTAGAGTGCAGCGCTTGGGAGCGCGGCGGCGCTCCCGCCGAGGGTTCGGATCCCATATAGAGACTGGTTGAGTGCGGTGCGGGCTCGACACCAAGGGTTGCAATCCCGTTGCCGGTCGCGGTACGGACGCGACACTGAGGGTTGCGATCCCGTTACCGGTCATGAAAAAAGACAAAAAGGAAAAAAAAAAAAAGAATGTTTTTTTAAACTGCTGAGTTTTGAGGCGATTTGTTATGCAACAGAACAACCAGATTAGAGAAGCACCCGTGCTGTCACATGCAGCCGTAGTTCATTCATTCTGTGTGTGTGGTGTCTCCTGTGTGACCATATCACCACATGTCTATCTACTGTTGACAAGCACATAGGTGGCTATTATGACGGGTGCTATGAACACTCTTCTACATGTCTTTTGGTAGAAATATGCAATCATTTCCCTTGGGTATATTCCTAGGAGTAGAGTTGCGGGATCATGGGATAGGTGTATGTCTAGCTTAAGTTTTCCACAGTGGTTGTACCAATTTACACTCCCATCAGCAATGTGCCAGAGTTCCTGCTGCTCCATGACCTCCCCACTACTTGCTGTTGTTTTTTTTATTAGTTTTTCTGGTGTGTGTGATGTGATAAGGCAGTTTTTTAAAAAATAGCTCCATGACATGTCCAAAGTCACAAGGAGCCAGATTAAAGGAGATCCCATTGATCAAAGGTGGGACACTATAAGCATCTAAAAGAAAAATTATTACAATTGATTAAAACACATTAAATATATAAAAATTCACAAGTTTATAATGATATTCAAAGTAAGGGAAAGCCAAAAAAAAAAAATCTAATTTGCCACTATTGTGGGTACCTGTTGCATATCAACTCCTTATTCTGAAAATTATAAAGTGAAATAACTAAGTATGCATCATGCCTTACTTCTACACACTGTAATTCTGGGTTACCAAATAACTCTCACTGATGTGGGAAAGCTCTTCTTTGCAGAATGATTCCACTTATAAATGTAGAAATAATAACAGAAGTTTAGCTGAGTCAGGCAACAATCACCAATAAACGTCCAAACCACTGGTGATAGTCATAGGCTGCCAAAGTCTTACCCTATAGGGAAAAATGTGCCTTTACAAGGGAGGGATCAAGCTGTCACCACCTGAACCCACTGGTCAAAAGTTACATCACTGACAGCAAAACACCAGACATCCTGCGCTTCCTGCCCTTATGCAAAACACAGTATCCACCACCAGCCGTGAAGTGTTTTTGCTAAAAATGTTTTAACTACATCCAATAAATCCTTTAAAGGTAACTCCAACTTTATAGGAAACAGAGGAAATGGAGAAATAAGTAATAAATTGCCACAGAAAATAAGTAAATAAATTCAGAATGAGGGACAGGCTACAGGAAAACGGACCTGGTCTCTTCAACAGGTCGACGGCATGAAAAAATCTAAGGGCTGAGGGAGCAGAGAGACTCCTTGAGATGTGGCTAAGTAAGAGAGGTGGATTCTGTGCAGATTCTGATTTGAACAAATCACTCACCAAAAGATATTTTTGAAACTATAGAGATATTTGAATATAAATTGGACGTCAGATATTAAGAAATTATTGCTAATTTCATTTAGTGTAATAATGGTACAGTGATTATGTTAGAAAATGTACTTATGTTTTTAGAGATGCATACTGAAGTATTTGGAATAAAATGTAATATCCATAATTTGCTTTAAACTACCTCAGATCAGATATTAAGAAATTATTGCTAATTTCATTTAGTGTAATAATGGTACAGTGATTATGTTAGAAAATGTACTTATGTTTTTAGGGATGCATACTGAAGTATTTGGAATAAAATGTAATATCCATAATTTGCTTTAAACTACCTCAGCCAAGAGTTATAGCAATAAATGAAATAAACACAGCAAAATGTTCATAACCGTTAATCTGGGTAATGACGTGTCAGTCCTGGGCTTGCCAATCCTCGGGTCTAGTCCTGCCCATGCCCTGCTCTTCCCTGAATCACGGGGCTGACACTTCTGACCAACTGGCTAAAAACTGGGAGGGGGGGTCCCCCGACCCCCTCAGGTTCAGTAATTCATTAGAATAACTCACAGACCTCACTGAAAGTGCTACACTTACACAATCACAGCTTTACTATAAAGATACGACTCAGGAGCAGTCAAACGAAGCCAGCTGGGTTGGCCTGGGAGGGCCCTGGATGCAGAGCCCCCGCGTTCTCTCCCATGCAGTCAGGATGTGGCTTCTTCTAGGTGCGTCCATGTGCTCATCAATCAGGAAGCTCCTCTAGCTTTGGGGGTTCAGTTTCTTGGACTCTTATTACATCACTGGCTGTGTTATTGAGCTCCGTCTCCAGCCCCTCTCTCCTCCCTGGAGGACCGGAGTGTGGCTGGAAGTTTCTACCCTCTAATGACACACTTGGGTCTTTCTAACATGACCAGCCCCTCCCTTGAAACGACCTGAGGGCCCACCAGGAGTCATCTCATTAGCTTAAACTCAGCGTGGTCCCCTCAGGAAATCCCAAAGGCTTCAGCTCTGTCAGGAACTGTGGACTAAGACCTGCCCCTGTTCTCTTATTACACCACGATTACAGTATCCCCTTCGCTCCAGACCCACGTGCCCTTCTTCACAGATGTTCAAAGCCAAGGCCCTGACACTTGTGTCTGGTTCTGAAGTGGGAGCAGTCTTGCGGAGGACTTTGCCCTTAATCTGAGGGGTCACTGCTAACTCCGCCCAGTTAGTGTCAGAATTGAGTTAAATTGCAGCTTCCTTGGGGAAGCTCAACCCCACCTGCTTCCTAAAGACTGCCTGTCACTCAAATTCCCCGGGGTTGGTGCAGTTCAAGAGGTTACCAAGATCACCCTCAGGTTTAATCATTTTCTAGAAGAACTTACAGAATTCAAACAAAGCTGTCATGCTCACAGTTATGGTTTGTTATAGCAAAAGGATACAGATTAAAGAAGCTTTCAGCTGTCCTCTTCAAATGAAGTTGTGTGGACAGCACTTACTTGTCCCAGCACGTGAGAGCCTGCGTGAAGCATTGCCAACCAGGGGGACTCACCTGAGCCTGTGTCAGGTTCTCACTGGGGGTCAGTTACACAGACATGACTGACCATAGTCTCCAGCCCCTCCCAATGCCCACATCATAAATCGCATTGTTGGTACAGAGTATCTGGCATGGCCCAAGGCCCAGGATACTCTTATCAGTCAGAACATTCCAAGGGCTTAGAGGTTACCAGGAGCCAGAAGCCAGAGTCAGGGGCCAAACTTTTCTTCAGACAAGATTTCTTTACTGCACAGTGGGCCTATTTAAAACTTTGTGACCCCATCTCCCGTGGATATGGTAATTAGACCAGAGATGGCTATTCCAAGCTAGGTATGCTGACTCTGCAAGGGTATGAGAATCAGTATGCAGAGACGTTATATCAGGGTTTCTCAGTGTGTGGCCCTGACCACTTGGAGTGCTTGTTAAGAAAAAGGATTCTCAAAAAAAAAAAAAAAAAACAGAAAATAACAAGCGTTGGCAAGGATGCAGAGAAATTAGAACACTTGTGCACTGCTGGTGGGGTGTTAAATGGTGTAGCCACTGCGGAAAGCAGTGTGGTGGTTCCTCAAGAAATGAAACACAGAATCACCATGGTCCAGCAATCCCACTTTTGGGTAGACACACAGAAGAACTGAAAGCAGGGACTTGAGGAGGTATGTGCACATCCATGTCCACAGCAGCATCATTCACAACAGCCAAGAGGTGGAAAAAACCCACATGTGCATCGATGTATAAATGGATAAACCAATTGTAGTCTATATATTCAATGCACTCAATGTACAGCCTTAACAAGGATGGAGGTTCTGACATGTGCTATGACACAGATGAACCTTGAGGACATATGCTAAGAGAAACAAGCCAGTCACAAAAGGACAGATCCTGTATAATTCCACTTATATGAGGTCCCTAGAGTAGTCAAACTCATACAAACAGAAAATAGAATAGTGGGTGCCAGGGGCTGGGGGAGGGGGATTGGGGAGTCAGTGTTTAATGTGTACAGAGTTTCAGTTTGGGGAAAATGAAGAAGTTCTGGACATGGAGGGTGGTGACGGATGCACAAAAGTGTGAATGTGCTTAATGCCACTGATTCTGTACACTTGAAGATTATTAAAATAGTTAATTTTATGTTGTGGGTATTTTACCACCGTAAAAAAGAAGAGAGAGAACATCATGCAGGAGAGTGGGGAGGCCCCTAGATCTTAGCACAAACCTACTGAGTTCATGTTGCCCTCACCCAAAGAATGTATTAAGAACCTGCTGTGGCTACAGTCTGGGTGCTGGGGGATGTTAACAGAGGCATAGGGGACCAGCAGCTATCGCCCTCCAATTGCTCACAACCTAACCAGGGACTCACAACAAGCAGAAGTAGAAAGCAGAACAAGACAATGTGTAGTTATGTACTTAAACTTTTGCCTTCACCCCTACAGGGAAAAAAAGGTTAAGATTTCAGAGAAGAACTTGACCAGAGTGTTGCAGGAGGTCAGGGAAGAGATGTGGGGAGTTCAGACCAGAGTCAGGCCTGGACAGGAAAAGATTTTCCTCATTTCAGTCTGGGATACCTCAATCTCTGTGAACATTTATTACAGAAATCTGAAAAGGAATTCAAATTTATAACACCAAGGTCAAGGGTTCAGATCCCCATACCAGCCAACCCCCAACCAAAGAAATCTAGCATTAAAGAAGAGGAAGGTTAAACAAACAACTGAACAAATGAATGAATGTATGAATGAATGACTAAGTAAGGCAAAAATCAAACAAAAGGTAAAAGAAATCCAACCGCAGGAATTCAGAGAAGGGACAGCAAAGTTCTTCCTCGTGCTCAGGGATCTGGGAAGGCTCCGTGGAGGAGGCGGCATCTGAACTAAGCTTTGAAGGATCTCCATGCGTGGAAATGAGACACTATTCCAGACAGAAGGAGCACCACAAGCAAAGGAACAGAAGTGATATAGTTTGGATATGTTGTCCCCCTAAAGCTCATGTCAAAATCTGATCCCCAATGTGGCAGTGTCAGGAGCTATTCAGGTCATGGGGGGTGGATCCCTGGTGAATAGATTAATGCTCTCCCTTGGGGGGGGAGGTAGTGAATGCGTTCTCGTTTTATTAGTTCCCACCAGAGCTAGTTGTTTTAAGGACCCTAGCACCTTGCCTTCCTCTCTGCTCCACCATTCTCGCCATGTGATACCCTGTATTGCTGTCACCTCACCAGTTGTGTTCCCAGGACTGTGGACTTTCAACCTCCCAAACTGTAAGCAATAAAAATTGTTTATTTATAAATTACCCAGTTTTAGGTTATTTCTGTTATAAACAACAGAAATGGACTAACACAAGAGGTCTATCAGGGATCAGCAGGCTGATCAGCGACCAGTGGAGGAACCGCGGGGCAGGCATTTGCAGCCATCTCTCATACTTCCACATCTGAGACCGAACGGCCCCCTTTCTCCATGACGGCTCTCTATGCCCAACTACCAATCATCTCGCAAATCCAGCTCACCTCCCCCATTCCCTCCACGCTTTCTTCCCACGACTGTGACAGTCTGTAGCAGAGCTCTGCTTGTGCCCAAAGATACGGTCCCTCCTAGGATTAGAGCCTGCCCTTTTTAGGTGGGCATATGGCTGCCCAGGATAAAGACTATACTTCCCGCCTCCCTGTAACTGAGTGGACTAAGTTCTGGCCAACGGGATTTGAGCAGGTGATGTTTGGAGCTCAAGAACGATATGCTTCAACATCTGCATTTTTTCTTTTTGCTGGTTGTGTGATGGAACGGATTAGGCAAGGAAGTGGCAGACAGAGAGTTGGAGAGTCAGAAATTTATTGCGCAGGTGGGCCACAGACAAGCTAATGCTCTGAAATTCTGGGCCCCAAACCCAGGTCTTACAGGGTCTTTTATAGGCGGACTCTTACCTTTCAGTTTCTTCAACATACATCTCAAGCAGGCAGCTGCTAGTTTCGGCCTCAGAACTCACGTGACCTAAGAAAGTATGCAAGCAAGATTACAGAAGTGAGGAATGCAGGCAGTTGATAACTAGCTTGGCTGACTCTAAGTGGCCTTTAGATAAGTACATTTAGTTACAGAGGCATTGTGCAGGCTAGGTAAAAGTTTAATTTTGAATTTTTCCAACAGTTGGAAAGCAGGTGTGACGAGAGGAAGACAACACTGTAGGGAGGGTGGGGCAACACCAGAAGGAGCTGTCCTCATCGTCCAGACGGATACCCAAGAAAGAAACTTCTGTCCTGTTCAAGACACTGCGATTTTGCTTTATTTTTAATTTACAAACAATAATTGTATTTATTTATGGGATATAATGTGATGTCTTGATATACATGTACATTGTGGAATGGTTAAATCAAACTAATTAATATATCCACCACCTCACATGCTTATTTTTTGTGGTGAGGATGTTTAAAATCTGCTATCTCAGCAATTCTGAAGTATGCAATACATTATTAACTGTAATCACCTTGCTGTGCAACAGATCTCAAACATTTCTGTCTAACTGAAAATTTGCACCCTTTGACCAACATCTCCCCAGTCCCCCAACCCCAGCCTCTGGTAACCACCATCGTACTCTCTGCTTCTATTCCACATGTAAGTGAAATCACATTGCATTTGTCTTTCCATGACTGGCTTATTTCACTTAACAGAATGTCCCCCAGTTCATCCGTGTTGTCGCAAATGACAGAATTTCCATTTTTTATGGCTGTATAGCATTCCCCTGTGTATTTATACCACATTTTCATTATCCATTCATCTACTGATGGACACTTAGGTTGATTCCATATCTTGGCTATTGTGAATGAACAGGAATACAGACATCTCTTAAACACACTGATTTCATATCCTTTGGATGTATAGAAAGAAGTGGGATAGCTGGATCATATGATAGGTCTGACTTCACGCTCTTGAATAGGATTACTGTCCTTATAGAAGAGGCCCTAACCCTAACCCTAACCCTTGTCCCTTCCACCATGTTAGGACACATAGAAGGTGCCCTCTGTGAAGCAGGCCAACTCCTCACCAGATACCAAATCTGCTAGCAAATCAATCTTGGACTTCCCCAACCTCCAGAACTACAAGCAATAAGTTTCTGTTGTTTGTAAATTACCCAGTCTACAGTATTGTTACAGCAACTCAAATGGACTAAGATACCTCTTATCAGATGTGTCGTTTGCCAACTACTTTCTTCCATTGCCTAGGCTGTCTCTTCACTCTTTTGTCTCCTTTGCTGTGCAGAAGTTTTTTAGTTTAATGTAATCCTATTTGTCTATTTTTGTTTTTGTTGCATGTGCTTTTAAGGCCATGTCCAAAAAATCAGTCATGGGGCTTCTCCCCTGTTTTCTTCTTGTTTTTTTACAATTTCAGGTCCTACATTTAAATCTTTAATCCATTTTGAGTTAATTTTTGTATATGGGTGAGATGAGGGTACAATCTCATTTTTCACTCTTCTGGTTATTAAGTTTTCCCACCACCATTTATTGAAGGGACAGTTCCTTTCCCATTGCGTGTTCTTGGCATCTTTGCTGAAAATCAATCAACATAAACGCATGGGTTTGTTTCTGTTAAAACATGATCAGTTTGAGACTTAATGACAATTGCTCCTGTATCTTAAAACATACAATCATTGCACTGTATGGCAGCAATGTGCCCACACTTCTTTCTCCTGAGCCAAGATGTGGCGGGAAAAGGCCTTGTACATTGTGGCCTCCACAGCCCTCAGCCCCTTCATTCCTGGCCACTAAGACTCAGAAGCAACTTCTCGTACATCCTCTTATCCTACCCTTCTGAGCCTCTCCTAATGGCCATTTTACGTGTTATTGCTGTCATTCAAATAATGACCTAATGCCTATGTGCCAGGCCAGAAGCTGAGTGTGTATCTGTACAAATCTTCACAGCCACTCTGCAAAGTAAGCCCTTCTCTACAAGTAACAGCATTACTGCCTGTGCTTTCAGGTCCCTTGACTCCTCCCGCTCCATGCTACACAAAGCCTGGCTGAATTGATTTTCCTCCTGCCTCACTCTGAGCCCAACAGTTCATATGGCCAGGGGACTGGTTTCACTTTAAACTCAAGACCACAAGCTGGCGGAGGCTTTCTGGAACCTGGACACATGGGCTGGGCAGGACTCACTTCCGCTTTTCTGGGGGGCCATCCTGAGAAGACAGAGGCTGGAAACCTCGACACAATGGTACGTGGGAGAAAGTTGCTCTTTAGGTATCTTTCCTAAGCCTGTGGGACAGCATTAAAGGCAGAAACCAAAATTACATGTTAATGATATTCAGAAAAGAGGAGCAAGCTAATAACACCAAGGCCACGGGTTTGGATCCCTATATAGGGATGGCCGGTTATTTCACTTGGGAGAGCGTGGTGCTGACAACACCAAGTCAAGGGCTGAGATCCCCTTACCGGTCATAGCAAGCTAATAACACCAAGGCCACGGGTTTGGATCCCTATATAGGGATGGCCGGTTATTTCACTTGGGAGAGCGTGGTGCTGACAACACCAAGTCAAGGGCTGAGATCCCCTTACCGGTCATCTTCAAAAAAAAAGAGGAGCAAGGCGCAGCACTCCAGGACCGCCCCCTAGATGGCTGCGTCACACCGTCTCCTCCTCTCCTCCTCCTTCCTCGCCCTCAGCTGATGGCCACCTTGCCCCTTCTTCCACTGAGAAATTAAAGCAATCTGAGGAGAATGTCCTCATCTTGCCACTACTAAATCTGCAGGCACCTGTACCTCATCCAAATCACACAGGCTGCGAATGTGGGAGGGGTCACTCTGTGATGGAAAATTGGGATGCCATGTCCACAAAAAGGAGGACTGGGTGCTGGGTAAGCAAAAACAATGCCTGTTCCTGCGATCCACAGCGTCCCACTGGACGTGGGTCCCAAAGACCCTACTCCCACTCTGGCTTGAATAGGTAGCAGTGACATAACTACTCATTTAAAATCTCTGGGCCTCAGTTTCTTGACCTAACGAAGAGAGGTAACAGCATCCTCCTGGGGCTGTGAAGAGAACGTGAAACCATGCGTGTGAAAGTGCCCAGGGAGATGCCTGGTGCAGGAAGCTCACCCCTTGCTCATTTCCTTTCCACTACTAACTCAAGTCTCTCTGCAGCAACCAGACACACATCACCTTTCTTGCAAGAAAAAGCTGCTATAAGAATTGCAAAGGCTGGCCAGTTAGCTCAGTTGGTTAGAGTGGGTGTTGACAGCACCAAGGTCAAGGGTTTGGATCTCCGTATTGGCCAGTCATCAAAATATATATATATATATATATATATATATATATATATTATATAATAACAGCTACCACTTCTTGACTGTTCGCTGTGCACCACACGCATCGTCAGGTAGAACAGCCTCATATGGCATGTGGGCTGCTCTGCACAGCTCCAGGGACCACCCATGCCAACTGCAGTGAAGGTGGTGCCGCCCAGGAAAGGCAGAGCACAGTCCCAGGCTCCTGCACCGACAGTCCTCACACACACCATGAAGAGGGGTCTAGCGCAGAACCTTATAGCAGGTTAAGAAACTTGCCCAAGGTTTTTAGCTGTTAAATGACGTGGACAAATGGCAACCATACATTGTGGCCTCCACATCTGAATTCTCGGAATTCTTCACGTGGAGATAAATGCTCACACATCAGGAAGGCCTTCAAGCTCACTCACTCCACCCGCCGACCCGCCGTGGCCTCAGAGGACTAGGCGTCTGCCGTCTCTCACTGTAGGATGTTTATAGACAGCAGATACCTCTCTAAAGGCCAAGAACCCTCCCAAAGTTGTTTACTTCAAAACAATGAGTTTCAGATACTTTTTAAGAAAACACTTTATTAGTCACAAATAAATCCAATTTTCTTTTTGACAGGCTTTCATGACAGGTTTTGCCAAAACTTGCAGTAGTCATCTGTGGTCTTAACCACGTAGATTTGGGGAGGTGTCCACAGTCACTACATCTCCCAGGCCACCAAGCTGTGTGGTACTCAACACTGTTCTTATGAAATACCACGACCCCTCACTTATGCTGAGGGCAACCTCTGCCATCAAGAGCACATCTGAGAGTCAAAGGAGACCCCGTGTGTGTACATCAACCCCCAGCCATCGCTCCACGAGAGGACATGCTGTGTGCACTGCACTGCATCCTGCTTCTTCACTTAACAGCCACTCCATTATCTGTTTACTGACTCTCAGCTCCACATCTACCCTCCTCACCCTGCTCTGTGGTGATGGAGCTGGATTCCACTTCATTTGCCAGCTGGCACGAGGGAGCCACAGGGCAGAAATTGCTAAAAACCAAGCACAAAATTTAATTGTGCAAGTGGCTGGGTTTACAACAGTTGAACTCCACCTTGCCAAGTACTTCAGCCACTTCTAGGCACAGGTGTCTTAGCATTTGAAAGCACAGTCCCAGATTTCTGGCCCTGGCATAACTGCTTACAAGCCTCACACACATTTGTCAATAACACCTTGACTTGGGGGGCCCTAGAGGTCTGTCCTCTGAACGACAGGAGGTTCCATGAATCCAGGTCTACCCAGGAGACCCACTGTCTGAAACCCTCTAATGGAAAGTAGTGGCCCAGCATTCCAGCACTTTTCTCAGAACTGCTAGAGCTTGCAAAAGAGAGAACTCTTTAACTGGAGGCTGGGACACCACCTGCAAGCTGCTGGTGCCTAACACAGCACCAAGCCCAAGGAAGCTACTCAATACATGGCTGACTGAACCCAAATACACCTTAATGTTCCAAATGTTCCTACTTTGAATCTCTGGACTAGAACTGGCTGAGTTCAACACGTGAGGCATGAGAAATGACCATGACGAGTCTCCACCTGGATGACCCCTGTTAGTGAATTTCCTCAACATCCTCAGGCCTCTTCCACCCACCCCCATCTCACCTGGGTCACCAGCTCCAACCCTAACCCTCTATCACACCTTCTATATGTTCAGCTTTTCCCAGACATCTGTGCCTGGGTGTCCCTGAGCTTTCCAAGGTCAGGGTGTCCCACAATGAGTCCAGTCCTTGTCCCCCAACTGAATCCTCCTCCTGAAGTCCCTCTCAATGACAAAAGCCAGCCGCAGCTGTGGCCTCCAGCTCCGAGGCATGGCCTTTCCCCCAACTCACCCATCTGATGCACCCCACCTCAGGACTCCTCCACTGGGGGATCCCCATTTTCCTCTCTCTCCTCTCTTCAGCCTTTGGCAGCACACTGACCTCCCTCTCTTTACAAATTCCCTGTGAGGCAGTACAACTACATACGGAGACACTGAGACCACACAGGCAGGTGTCTCAGAACAACTGGCAGTATTCAGAGCAGAGGACAGACAAGGGCTCCCTTTGCTGCCAGAACACAGGCTATTGTGGGGACAAGACGGCTGTAAAAGGGTGAGGCAGGCAAGCGACCAGAGTCCCTCCCCACCATTTCCCCAGCATGCCCTGAGTTTCCAAGCCTAGGCCTGGGTGGGCTGCCCCTCCCTGCCCTCTGTTGAGTGGAAACCCATTCATTCACTTACTGCAAACATACAGACCTTAACCGATTTCCAAATTGTTTTGCAGAAGCGCTTCAAGCTGTTCAGTTTTCATTACTTAATTTGCAGTTATTTCTGATGTTTATTTGATGTGGAGTAGTAAACACAATTTGAGAAAAAAATGACTTAGATCTTGTATTGCTTTATCCAAAATTAAATTTGATAACTTACTGCCAAATTAAAACATCCAAATTTTTTCTAAAGTTTTAGCTGAAACTCCATATTCTCTCTAGAATTATACTAGCGCTTTTCACACAAAATCCGGACAATTTTCTTACTGTGGCAAAATATTCCAGTGACATTTTTATGAAAATGTTTCTGAATAAACATAATTTTTCTGGGCCAACCACAATAAAGTTCAATACATTGTATTAAATGTGCTTCCCAACACCATAAGATCAACAAAAACCACTAGTAGGGCTAAAAATTCTGACAATATCTTCTAAGTCTTATTGATCACTATCATAACATTTTTGGAAGTTTTAAGTTTTCAAATGTTTAATGTATGAAACCGATTGTGTTCTTTCAAATATTTTCTTCATTGATAATCACAGGTTTTCTTCACTTGAACCACAAGTTTTAATAGCATTTGGATGAATTATATACATGTTTAGCACTTTGATCTTTTAACAACAGAACTTTTGAGCATCCAACATTTCTGTCACTAGCAACGAGTCAAATTCTTGGTTGAAAATATCCAAGTTAATTTTCATTGCGTAACTACATATTTTATGTAATGAAATACAGATTTTATTTTGTGCTGACTCTTGTACAGTACCAAAAGAAGTTCCAGGCTGGATACATTGCTATTATAATTTCATCACTTTTCTTCTGCAGATTAACGATTTTACATTTATTCTATTCAAAAGTAATAAAATTTATCCAGATTTTGTTGTCTCTTCATTCTGGGTATATGTTTCTAACATTTTATAATAAAAACTTAAATGTATAAATATAAAAACACTGCACAAGTCCTATTTTCCAAAGAATTACAATGTGCTAACAAGAAAAGTACTCTAATCTAGTGATTCTCCTAAAGCAATTAATGTCTTGTGAACACACACAAATTTGGCCACAGTCACTATGTCTGTGACTGAAGGGACTAAACATTCAGACACTATGTTATGAATGTTTCTCAGATGTTGCCACACCAGGAAGTCTATCATCAACAGTGCTAACATTTTACAACTACTAGTAAAAGCCAATGAATTTATATTAAATTTATACTAATTTCAATATACTTCAATTACTATGATGCTATTTGCCATGGAAGCATTTTAATATTTCAACCATCAGTATACTGCAGGGTGCATACTCACTAAATATCAGCTCTGGTCTATCTGCTGAATTTAGTCCAGGGGCTGCCAATTTCAGCTTCTGGCTAAAACTCCAGGAGAAATTATCAATGGGTCCTGGAAGTAAAGATTGGGGAGGGGGGGGGGGGTTGCATTTCAGACACAGCTGTAGGTGAGTAGCCAATGCCTTCTTTTGGATGGGGCGTGGATATCAAGTGGTCACACCCGGGCCACTTCACTGACTGACTTTAGGCTAGTCGTTTGAATTTTCTAACCCTGGGTTTGGTTTCTACAAAAAAGACATCCTGGGCCGGCCCCCTGGCGCACTTGGGAGAGTGCAGCGCTGGGAGCGCAGCGGCCCGCCGCGGGTTCGGATCCTATATAGGACTGGCCGGTGCGCTCACTGGCTGAGCGCAGTGTGGGCGACCCCACACCAAGGGTTGCGATCCCCTTACCGGTCACGAAAAAAAAAAAAAAAGACATCCTGGGGCCGGCCCTTGGCTCACTTGAGAGAGTGTGGTGCTGATGGCACCAAGGCCACGGGTTCGGATCCCTATATGGGGATGGCCGGTTAGCTCACTTGGCAGAGCGTGGTGCTGACAACACCAAGTAAAGGGTTAAGATCTCCTTACCGGTCATCTTTAAAAAAAAAAAAAAAAAAAAAAAAAAGACATACTGTACTGCCTGCCAAAATTCCTGAGGCAAGGATTTACAAAACCTGGCTACCTACTAGAAAAGGGAGGGAAAGGGAAATACAAATGGCGATACCTAAATTAACATCGCAAAAAAGCATCTTGCGACATCTGCACCTGCAGCTTCTATCTGTCCAGGTCAAGATTTGGCGCCGCAAAACCTTCGTGAGGCCGCAGCAGCTCCCTCCGCCGCCTCCTCTACACGCTCGCAGCGTGAGGCAGCATGAGGTTACTCACTACAGATGTGTGTCTGAGAGAGGGCTCCAAGCCCTGGCCGGCGTCCCTTGTCCCCACGAGCCCCTTCACACAGCTTTGCTCCGGCCAGACGGAGTTTCCTTCCCCATTAAATCTCGGGCTGTCACACCGCCAAGGCTGCTCGCGTCTCCATTTCTCCTCCAGAATCAGTCGAGGACTGGCACAAGAGCCACCCTCCAGGAGGTCCTCCTGCGTGCCTTCCGGGAGACACCTCCCGAGCGCCGGCCCTGCCCGCCCGCCCTTGAGGACCCACCCCACTGGTCCTCAGGGTCGCTCCGGGGCCCCGCCCCAAGAACGGGTCTCCGAGTCTGCCAAGTGGCCCAACCGCGGAGAGTGTCCCGCGTCTCCACCAGCTCGCGTCCGCTCGGCAGGTGACGACCGGGACCTACTCGTCGCGGGTCGCAGCGGCCGGCGCCGGTGTAGGCCCGCTCGGAGGGACTCCAGTCCGTCCGCTCACCTCGGAGCTGTGAGCGCTGGGAAAGGCACGGAAGTCGCCGGGCCTCCGCGTACGCACACTGTGCCTTGCGCTGGCCTCAGTGTCCCCGCGAGCACACACACCCGGACTCCCGAAGCGCCGCACGCCCCGCCCCCGCGCGCTCGCGCGTGCTGAGTCTGCGCAGCCGCACGTCCGCTCCCGGCGCGCCCCGCGCCCCGCCGCGCGCTGTGCAAGTTCT